TTTCAGCACAGCCAGAATAAAAGACTATAGTTAATTAAGATGAGCTATGAACACAGTGGAAGAAAACAGTGGTTGCAATCACTGCTGTCTTACAGAACCTTACAGGATTCAGCCTTATAAGTTGGAGGTACTCAGCATTGTTATAATTATTTTTAATTCTGAAGCTATATATTGACTATCCCTCAATATAAGGATGATGTCTGCTGCAGGGGAGGGAAGGGGTGGGGAATAATGGTGAATTTTAAGGTGGCTGAGGAGTCCAACCTATGCTTGCAAGTTTTTCCACTGATATGATAAGTGGTGCCTTGGGCAGGGAGGGAAGGGGGCACAACTATTGGCCAGGATGTTGTGCACTTTCCTTCCTCCTCTGCCGTTTCTCAGCTTCCTGAGCAAAATGGTTCTCTTCGAAGTGGGCAGCAGCTTGATGTATGGTGCAGCGCCATTGAGACCTGTTACCAGCCAGCACTTTCTAATTTGTAGGGTTGATGCCACCCTTCTTAAGCTATGCTTTCAGGGTGTCATTGTAGTGCTTACTCTGTCCTCCACGGGTCCTCTTACCATGACTAAGTTGAGAGAAGAGGACTTGCTTCAGGAGATGAGTGTCAGCCATCTGCACACAGTGGCCAGCTCAGAGCAGTTGATGTTTCATGATCTTTGCCTCAATGCTGGTTATGTCAGCTGCAGAGGGTGCTGGCATTGGTGCAGTGGTTTTCCTATCTAATGCAAAAGATCTTCCTGAGGCAATGCTGAGGGAACCATTTCAGGTGCTTAAGATTGCTTCGATATATCACCCACATCTCATATCCATAGAGGACCGTGGGGACAACCACTGCATTGTAGACTAGGATCTTAGTATCCACCTGCAGATCTGTGTCAGCAAAGACACAGCGAAGTAGATTTCCAAAGGATACACTGGCACAGCGAATTCTATGTTCCATTTTTACATCAAGACTGACTGACTGGAAGAGGTGATTGCCAAGGTATGGGAAATGCTTCATGTTTTCCAGGGGTTCTCCACCAACTGTAATTTGTGGGTGAAGGAGGGGTAGCTTGTCTTGGGGTAGGCTGATGGAGCACCTTTGTCTTCCCAATGTTAAGGGAGATTCCCAGGCTGTGATAGGCACCTAAGAAAAGGTCAAGGATAGACTGCAGATTGGTCTCAGTGTACGTGAGTATAACAGTTGTTAGCATACTGAAGGTCGATGATGCCAGCCTGTAACTTTTGTTTTGCTGTGAAGGCACCTCAGGTTGAAAAGCTGACCATCTGTTTGATACTTAACCCAAATTCTGGGAAGGTGGTGGTCACACATGAGAAAAATCACAGCAAGACAGATGGAAAAAAGGGCTGGGGCAACGACGCAGCCCTCTTTGACACCAGTACAGATGGCAAATGGGTCTGTCTCTGATCCACTGCAAAGGATTGTGGCAGCCATCCCATCATGGAGTAGGCTGAGGACACTGATGAGCTTCATCAGACAACCAAACTTAGCTAGCACCTTCCACAAGGCTTCACAATTGAGAGAGTTGAAGGCCTTGGTCAGGTCAATGAATGCCAAAAACAGCTCCTGGTGTTACTCTCTACACTTCTCCGGGATCTGTCATGCAATAAAAATCATGTTGGTGGTACTCTGAGATGGTCTAAAGACACACTGGGATTTTGGAAGGACATCTTCAGCAAGGGGGAGGAGGTGGCGATTCAGAACAATGTGAGTAAGAATCTTCCCAGCAACGGAGAAGAGGGCAATGCCTCAGTAGTTCCCACGCACTGACTTGTCCCCTTTCTTGAAGATGGTCACAATATTGGCATTCTTTAAGTCAGGTGGAACTTGTTAACCATATGTTGATGAGAAGTTGGTGAAGCTTTTGCATTAGTGCTGTTCCACAAGCTTTGAAGACTTTTGCGGGGATGCCATCTGGGCCTGGCACCTTATTGTTCTTGGTCTGAGTGATGGCATGCCAGACTTCCTTGATGAATGGGAGATCAGCAAGAGGTTCTATTACTGGGTGCTGAGGGATGGACTCGATGGCGGTAGCCAAGACCTCAGATTCATGGTTGAGATTCTGAAGCCATCAAATGTGCTTTCATCATTTGTTTTCTAGTTCAACTTCAGACAACTGGGTCAAGCATTTTCCTCTGAGGAACATCTGGATTTTAGTTCTGAATGAATTTTCAGTCAACCCTTTCCTGCATGCTCCCTTTCCCCACAGCCCTCAATGTATTTTCTAGTTACATGGTAGCTTTAAGATCTGAGAACACAAATTTGTATTGGCTTGGTTTTGGTTTCACACACTTTATAATAACCTGTGACCCTGTCAGAAGCAGAATTGCAGCATTTACTCTCTGAATCAGATACAACATTTGTGTATTACTCCAGAGAAAATAGTTTAGTGGGAGAAATGTTAGTTCTGAAGTATCCTGTAATGGGGAAATGTCTCCTGCCCCTGTTCCAGAGCAAGGACACGAGCACCAGGGAAACAAATTTGCATGGACGTGGAGCTGGCCAGCCATACTCGCTGAGAGTGACTGTAGGGATTCTGCCAGGGAAGGGAGATGACTCCCCAATGTGCACTACAGCGCGCACCAGGAGCTGGCTCTGATTGACCCATGGACACAAAAGGCCAGAAGAAAAGCCAGGTGGTTCACTTCCCCCAAGGAGGGTAAAGTGTGCAGGCAGGCACAGGCTGCAGCATGGTCTGTGTGGAGGCACGGAGCAGAGCCAGAGCAGAGTCAGGAGCCTCGGGGGCCCAGACTGGAACCAAAGACCAGAGCAAGCCAGTAGGAGAGCCAGCACAGTGAGTCCAGGTGGCAGGCCAGCTCTGAGTGGCTGGATTAGAAGTCGAGGCTGGGATAGGGGAAGCAGGGGTCAGATAAGGAGCCCTGCTAGAGCGGATGACTGCCTGAAGTGAAGGATTGATCATCCGGTAAGGGATCAGAGAAGGGAAGAAAGAAAAGAGTCAACTTAGTAAGGAGGAACCGGCGTGTTGGGCTGACATGAGCCAAAAGTAAGTGGTTGGAGAAAACTCTGCAAAGTCTTGTGATCAGGGGGTTAATTAATTGAGAGTGGGCCTGCCCCACGGCGGGATTTATGTAAGGACTGACTGAAGGCAGACAATTGCTCCATGGGTGAAATGGTTTGCATAAAGACTGATGATCCATGATTCCTCTGAGGGAAAAATATACCCGTGAAGTTGAACTGAACATGGAAGGCATTGCTGACCGTGGGTTAACGCAGGACTAGACAAAGTTGTGTCAACAAGCACAGAGAATAAAAGAACTGGACGCATTTACACAAGAGATATAAATACCAGCCTGGCCAGGTGTGCTGCTCCCAGTGCTGCTCGAGCTGCTCAGGTACTGCTCAGCTATCCCCGCCTCTAGTGGTAACTCCTCTCCTTCCCCTACTGTGTCACTTTGGAGAGCAGGTAGCGCGGGGAAACAACAGTGGCCATGGGGACGCGTGCCAGATGCTACATGACCAGCAATGCAGGGAGGAAGCTGCAGCTGGATAGCTTCTGCCCTAGCGTGGGGCTCCAGCTCCAGCCCCCAGCCACCTTCCACTCACTCCATCAACCTGGCACAATGAGCAGCCACCTGAGGGCAGCCAAGTGGGTGGAAGGTGGCCAGGAGCTGGAACTGAAGTCCCACACACTGGAGCAGAAGCTGCCCAGCTGCAGCTTCCCCCCCATGCCTGGCTGAGTGTGTGATGCTCAGCATGTGTCCTCACAGCTGCTGCCAGTTCCCCATGCTACCTGCTGCCCACAGCAGTGCAGCAGTGGAAGGAGGAGGACAAGGAGGAGGACAAGGAACCACCAAGCAGTACCTGGGCAGCTGCTGGGAAGCTGTGCGTGTTGCCAGGGCCGGGGCAGTGCTGTCAGCAGGCATGGGCAGGAGTGCAGTGTGGCTCAGTCCCATGCAGAGCACCGCTGGCGCAGCTGTGGGCTGGATTGCGGGGAGGGGGCCTGCAGACCACAAGCCAGCTCCTGGGACCTAGCACATAGGCAGCCCACACACACGCATACCCCCACTCCCTCCACACACCTACCCTCCCCACCCCACAATATACAAAAGTAAGACTTTATTTTGAGCTGTTATGCAATTGCCTCTATAAAAAAAATTACTCAAAAAAATAAACTAGGACAAAATTATTTTTTGAAATAAAATTAAAAAGTTATAGTAGATATTTGATTTTTAGTATATGGTTTGTCTTTTATCTAAAATTTGTTAAAATTATATCTTCTGAAAGATTGTGTGTGCAGCCCTTGACAGCTCACCAAAACTCAAGTGTCCGGCCAGCCAAAATAATTGCTCAGCCTGGACTTAGTACTTCATGATGTTTTTAAGGTCTTGTCCAAAAGGCTACTTCAGCGTAGCCTTTTGGACAAGGCCTTAAAAACTGACCCTACTCAATGTCTTGTGTGGATGTTAAAAACTATTAGCATGTTACATTTTAGGTTTTAATCAGGAACACTGGAATAAATTTCCCCACATGTCCTACTACGCAGTGTGCTGGGCACTGACCATCTGCCAACACCTTACACATGAAGAATCACTGCTATTTAGAGCCTCTTTACATGAAAGAGGCTGTAGAAGTGTACTGCAAGTTATTATGACTGTTCTTTATCCATATTCACATCCACCTGCTCTTTCTACCATAATATAAACCATATTTACCTTTGACAAAACTTTATTTAGAGTAATTTGAAGTGCAGTTTAAAACTATATTCTACCTTCAATGGTATAAATATTGAATACAGTAGCAGCCTGCATCTTCAAAAATTCATTCACTCACTGTGTCTGATTCTACATGCATGCATCTCCTGGCATAGCGCTCACTATATTAAGCACTAAGACATATGTTCTATATGTCAATGGAATAATGTATGGGGCCTATTTTTTTAGTTTAATTAAAGTTTGCTTATAAAGGAAATATATAGCAGCTAGATAAATGTTTGTAAAGAGTATTCAATCAGATATATGGACTCAGTTTAGCAGCACTCACTTGTACTCATCATAAACCTCCTGTTTGGGAAGAGATGTCTCTGGGTGCTCCTCCAAGGTATTCCGAATCCAAGAAAAAGCATGCATTTGCTGTGCACGGCTTGATGACATTGAGATCTGATCACTACTGAAAAGAGAAACAATTGTGTTAAGAGAGAATTCTGTACTATTTGCTTAGCATACTTAAGTGTTCATATGAGCTAAAGACTCACATGAAAATATATCATGGGGAAGGAGGAGTTCTTGGAAAGGTTTCTCATAAATGTAATTCTTAATATTTTCCCCATGATATTCTTCTAAAAGCTGTTTCTGCCTGAATAACACCAGGCATCAACAAAACCAGAATCTGTTTGGGTAGTGTTGAAAGAAGTGATCAAATGCATATTGAATTATGCACCTTCAGCATAATTCCCTGCTTCACTGAGTTCTACAAGCAGGGACATTTCAACAGAATGGTAGATGGCAGAAAGAGAGGGCCACTTCAGATGTGTTCATTTACCATAGCCTATACGCTGCCACTGCAAGCCCCCACTGCTCTGTGCACGAAGTCTCCCTGGCATGCCAGCAGGGCATGAGAAACTTTATCCAGAATTGCTCCTCCCAATGCACAGCTCTTTTACATGCCCACTTGGAACGTCCATGTCTCTTACACTGTATAAATCAGGGTCTGGAGATGACATTATAGGTAAACACCATCAGAGAAGGCTAATGATTTACCCAAAGAACCTTGCCTGCCTAGGTCCTTAGACCTACACAGCTACAACTTATACCCCTTAGAGAAGACTCTATATTCCTGAGAGATTTCTGTAATGCCAGTGCAGCAATTGGTGACTGACTGCAAAGAGTAACATGCAAGACAAGCAGCATGCAACCATCAACTGCAGCACTGTTCAGACCTCTAATCAGTTCACAGACCTGCTGCTTTGCCTACTGCATGTGGCAGGGCTGACACACATGTTCTCTGCATGTCCACAAACTGTGGAATTTCACATAGCCCATCATGTTTAAAAGGTTATAGTCATCCCTCAGAGTTCCCAAATGCCTTTTACAATTGGTCTCAAAGTTTGTAGAAAATTCTAGCTCATCAGATTTTACTGCCTATCAAATTTGAAGTGGATTGATTCTTGTGATTCATTCTTAAGTTCCCCAGAAGATACAGCCTAATAAAGCACTCTTAACTGGAAAAATTGAGTCTCTTTATAATAGAAATATTCAGGAAAACAAGCACTCACAAAATGTTTACCCATTCTAATATCCACCCTCCCCCACCTGCAATGAATATCTGTATGGGGAAGGAAAGATTAATACGAGATGTCGAGTGATTTCAGGGACAGAAAGGATCTAAATGAGCGCATATTGCCAAACTTATGATGAAGCCATAATCACTCTACCCTCTTCTTTAATATTTTAAGTGCTATATTACAATCTGCTACATAAAAATTGAGGAAACAGCACACCTGTTCCATAACCAAGCATTTAATCAAAAAGAACTCCCTCATAAATCTCTTACTACACGAGCCTCATATTTACAGTTTACTTTTTATGCATCAGATTTCCAAAATTCAGATTTTCTAAGGACTTATTTCTCTGAAAATATTTTTGAAAGATACTAGTGTTTAAAAAGACCCTACTTCTGCCAGAAACAGTGCATGAAGATGTATTTTAGAGATAATCTCACTGGAACTATTTTACTATTAATATTAAACACACGCACGCACGCACACACCTTTTCTCTCCATTGCTGGGACCCGAAGGCAGTTGAAGATAGAGGTAGAGTTTCTCTAGGTCTGTAAACTTCTCAACTTCTTGCTAGATAATGAGGATTTGTTGTTTTGTTTTAAAAAAGGATATGGTAAGTGACAAGAATGATAGATGAACAAAATCCCAGTTTTCAAAATAATCTCAAATAAAACAGCATAACATTTGACAATATAAAAGTATCAGGCTATAAGCTATTTGGGACAAAAGGCAATTTTCAGTTTTGTATTCGCGTAGCACCTAGCACAATGACGTTGTGGTATTGACATTATTTGTATTACTTACAAATAAGTATGAATCAAAAACATCTCTAACTTTAATTAGAAAAGAAAGAAAAATACCTTTTGTAACCAGAAGTCTCATTTTAAATCTTTCATTATGATTTCAACATCTCTGAGAACTACATATAACAGCTCTTCAATAACAAAGTGTGATTCTTGGACTGAGCTGTACAATGATATCAAAAGTAAAATCCAGCAGACTAACAAAAGCTTTTCTAAATATTAAATTTCCATCTACCCAGTACATGGTTGTCACAGGGTGATTAAATAGATATGGATGGTAACCCCTTCATCTGGTATAAATTGTTATGGCTCCATTGACTTCAGGATAGCTCAAAACCTTTGAATAAGTAAGGTAAGGTATAATCTTACTGGACACTGTCCATCCTCAGCATGAGCAGCAGGGTGTGATATGATGCTATTCTGAAGACACCAACATTTTGGTAATCACAGTGCTACTGGTCCAGCTGACTCAACTCTGAAATACTAGGAAAGTCAATCCTGACAACCTGGATGACGTGTCAGCACATATTGCTCCTAAGGAAATACTGACATCTCACAGTAAGGTGCAAATTGATTCCTTCAAAAGAAAAAAAAATATGTGCAAGGTGAACTTATATTGGGTTTAGATATAGCTAAACTTCAATCACCTGTTTTATTTTAGCAGCCTACTGCTAAATAAACTAGACCTGTGTATCAGCAAACAGCACTGAGGTAACTGGAACTAGAATATTTTTTCTGAATGAAACACTGCTCTCTGTGATAAGGTCAACTTTCTTTTCCTTGACTGCTGCTTCACTTTTAATATAATCACTTTTCCTTTAAAAAATGCACCCAGAATATCTGCTTGTTGCACCATTTAATAGTGAATGAAACTGAGGAAACAAGAAATTAATGAGAATTTTGTCCCTAAATTCAGGTGAAGCTGAGATAAAGCTTACGGAGCCAAGGGGTCAACACCTCTGATAACTTACAAAAGGAGATATTATGAGGTGGATGACCACAGTATCTATTTTGCTTTGGAACTGGTACATAATTAACATCAACACAGTGTTGAACAAAAATTAGCTTGAGAAACATGCTCTTCTCCTCTCTGCTGCTCTCTACAAACAACATACTGCAAATCTCTTAAGAGGCCTGAGCCACTAGAAAATGAAAACAACTGAAAGATACTGAGCTGTATGAGGAAAGGAGCCCAAAGAATGAAGGAGGTTTGGTAAAGGCGTTTATAGACATGCTCTGGGAAGCTGGGAAATGGGGGCACTTTAATTAGCGTCACAAAAGTCACACTAATTAAAATGGCCGGCGCACCATGTGCATCAGTGTCCCCAGGCTGAAAAATAGCAACGGGGATGCTTTAACTACAGCTCACTGAATGAGCTTTAAAGTGCCCCCGCCACCACTTTACAGTGTGGTGACACTGATACACATGATACTGGAGTCTGCTGGAGCGCGATAATTACCATGCTCCAAGAGACTGGATTGATCGAGTCTGCTCCAATGCACTATAATTACATTTGCTAGACTCTACTCACATTTGTTAGACTTTTCCAGTCAATAACTTTACACAATAGACATTTAAGATAGTGAAAAGATATTTAAATCCAGAAACTGCAGTGTGTTTGGCCCACTTAGAATAATCTCCCAGAATACCTGAAAGGCTTTTAAACTGTGTTTAAATTAGCCTACTTCATGCTGGTAAAATCTGCAAACAAGGTATTTTAAAACTTCTTAAGCTTTTCACTCTTCTCCAGCCCATGGGGATCACCCCCAAAGGCAAGTTCAGATTTAATTACACTTATCCAATCATAACAACTATAAGAACTTGTTGAGGTCAGTGATGTCACAGCATAAATTAATTTGGTCCCAAGCTATTAAAGATGCTACACTTTTCCAGCAAGCTTCTAACAATATGGACAAACAATCAAATTAAAGTGAGTTAAGCGGGGACAAAGAATGAAATATTTCAGGAATGAAACTGGCGTAAATTGCTCCTGTTTCACATTCACCTTCCAGGAGGCAGTTGCCAGCAGGTTAACAGTTACCATCCTTCAGCTGTTTGGGGATAAGTTCCTACCTGTTAGGTTGCTTTAATTTGTCCATAACTTCAGGCAGTATTTTTATTAGGGAAAAGTTGTTTTCTGACACTAGGTGATGGTCTAATGAAAAAGAGGTAGTTCATAGATTTTACATACTTGTGTGTTGAGTTAGACCAATGTGCCATGGTGACAAACTGCCCCATGCCTCAGGTTTCACGAGGCAGTCAAGGTTATTTGGGTGAATCTGATATCTTTTATTAGACCAACTTAAATAGTTGGAAAACAATTTTTAAGCAAGCTTTTGGGTTCAAAAACCCTTCATCAGGCTGAGGAAGTTTCAGCAGTTGGCACGTGCTCTTCCTGGATGGAATGAAAAGTAAAGAAGCCGGAGGCTGGGTTGGTCTGCATACAAGATAGGCTGTCAGTGAAGATGTAGACTGAGGAGTCAACGGGTGAGAGACAGGCTGGGTGGAGGGAGAGAAGGGGGATGAATAGTGGAGAAGTACCTGGGGAGTCAGATGCCAGGCAGGTTATAATGTGCCATAAATCCAATGTCTGTATTTAGGCCATGATTTTTAGTATCCAGGAGGTTGATGAAGTGGAGTTCACAGGCTCGTCCCTGGGAAGTGTTTCAGGTTTCATGAGGCATGTTGGTGCCAAACCAGGAAGAGCTGCAGAAGTGATGCACCTGCCTACATTCATGTAATGCAGGTAGGTGCACCTTTATGCTGCAGCTGCTTCTCAGTTCAGTTCCCATATGCCTCCTCAAAACTGAGGCACATGGTGCAGTTTCACTTCGCAGCATGGGCAGCAGCAGCAAAAACTGCATCGCCGCACCTTGGCCTGCCACCTCCCTTCTCTTGGGCCTTGTATGTCCTTCTGCCCCCCAGTGCTCCCCATGCTTCTTCTCTGCTAGCCAGGTGTCCTCAGACTCTGTCCATTAGGGCTGGAGGTTAGGGAGGACTGCCCTGGGGATCTAAGGGAAGAATGTGGCCCAGTGGTTCCCAATTCCCACCAGTGACCTGGAGATGTGTGGGGAGTCTACTGCTGCCCTGTGAGCAAATGTGCTGAGCCAGGCAGAGTTAGGGGAGCACTCCCCACCAGCACCCTGAAGAGGTAAATATAATATGACTGTAATAAGATAAATATTTAATAGTATATTAACTAATAATGTTTGTATTATAATATTCACAATATATTTATATTAGTTTATTAAATGGGGTGCACTTAGTTCTGAAAAGATTTGGAATGGTACTTCAAGTCTAAAAAGGTAAAGAAGAACCACTGAGTTAGACTATGGAAAGGCCTAGGTTTATCATGAGGAAATTTGGAACCTGCAAACTGCCTTGTCCACAGTAGAACGCATTTTCTGTCATCTGATAAAAACTTAAAGAAACTTTTATTTCTTTTTTTGGTAGAAGTTTTCTTCCTCTTTTCAAATGGACCCTTCCTTCATCCCTGCTCTTCCCAGACCCAGACCTAGACCCCAAATCTACAGTAATTCCAGTACTGACAAAACAGTTTTTCAACCTGAACCACTCTGGTGAACTCTGATAAATGTGACCCAGACCAACTGCCACTGCCAGAAGTTGAGGGTGGGGAGAAGCACCATCTCAACAGGTCCAAACAACAGGCTAATGAGCTGAAACTCCCTTTCTGCACTCGAGCAGGCCTATTCAACTGACGGCCCACAAGGACTTCCCCATCTCTGCTCCAGTAGCAGCAGCTGCCCCCGCCAGCTCTGGACTCCACCTCCCTCTGACCTCTACTCTTGACCCACCCCATGAGGCATGGCAGAGCAATGTGGCACAGCCACATGTGTCCAGGAAGCCCATGGAAAGGGCATTGGTGTAGTGCAGCAGAGGAGCCCATGCCCAGAAAGCTAAAGGTGGGGCTGTGACCCCTGTGCCCAGTGCGACGGTGGAGTGTGAAGTGCCCACATACCCAGCACAGCAAGGGGGAGAGGTTCTCAGGGAGAGGGGAGGGAAAGGGTGCCTGAATGCCTCATGCAGTGAGAGGCACCAACATGCCCAGTATAGCTGAGTCAGGGAGTGTCTGGGGAGCCTGTGGCCCATGTTGGCGTGGGCCCTGTGGTGTGTGGTCCCACTGGTACAATCCGTGAGACATGAAGCCCCCAGCAGCTAAGAAAGTAGACACCTCTGCTATAGAGGATAACATCCTTCTAATCTAAACAGAACTGAAGCACTAGTGCTGTGCACGCTGCACTATTGCTGCACATCCTATAGCTGTCCTGTGGACTAGTAACTTCAGTGATCACTGCCATCAGTCTCGGCATACCTCTCCAGTACTGACTTCCTTTTAAAGGTTAAGGAGAAAAATCTTAGCCTTCTTACTAAGTGATCAAAAACTAAGTAAACCACACAATCAAGTTCAAGAGTTGACTCAATATGTGGAGCCAAATATAACAAGCAATGTTATACTAAGTGAGAATCTACTTTTAGACGTGTTTACTACAGTTAAGAGGATGTCACAATACATTTTTAATGGACGTTTATACCAGAATTCCTACTAATCATCTTTTCTGGCTTGCACAGCACAAACATTTCCTTATGATCTTCCAAAAACTGACTTAATATGTCAGGATGCAAACAGCCCTGCAAGGTGCACCAGGCATAACTGACCTAACTCTTGACTGTAGTCTGATTAACCGTTGCTTTTTAGTAGCTGCATACTGCAGTCTCCTGCTGCCAGAAGCCTAAATATCAGTGACCTTATTACTATCTTCTTTGTCACTTCTCCTGTGTCCTAACTGTTGCACTGGTCTTACATTAGACAGTCCCTGCTGCAATGAGTCTAGTATCAGTGCCAAGCACAACAGGGACTGCAGCTGCACTAGTACCTGTGATCATGGCTGGAATTAGGTGCTACTCTAACACAAACAATGAATATTACAGAACACTTCACATTACTTAAACTGTTGGTGTATTTGTTAGACACATTCAAAGCACAAACCAAACTGGCAAAGATGAATGTTTATTAAGGCAGCAGTAGCATCTTTGCTAGGTGAATAGAAGAGAAAGATCTGTTCTACTCAACCATTGGAATCAAAGTAACCTCCTAAAATATATTATTTCCCTCCAAATGTGCTTCTTCTTACGCTCCCTACTGCTGTCAGCATTAAGATAACGTTGAGTAGCACGTGGCACTGCTGTGGAACATTCTTCAGTTTCATGATTAAAGGAAACGGAGCAGACAAAAAATATGCATCTTTTGCTGCTATATACTTCATGGGACTATGGACCCAGATGGTGTGAAGATATGTCTAGTTATCTGAGACAGTTTTCTCAAGAAAATTCATAAGCTGCAAAAACTGCACATGAAGTTGAACATTCGAGTGAACTGGACAGATGTGCCCATACTTGTACAGCAGCGAGGGGAGAGAGGAGAAAAGAGGAGGGGTTTGCTAGTGCCAAAATGCCCAGATCACAAAATGAAGTCAGTTGATGGCAATCCTATAAACCAGGGGTGGTCAGAGTTACTCACCCTGGTCGCCACATTCAATCCTCCACCAAAGTTCAAGAGCTGGAGAGCAGGGGGCTGCCAAAGAAGGGTGCTGAGCAACCCGGAGTGCACCCTTTGTTCCCCTCCCCCACCCCCACTCCTGCCAGCAGCCATTGGGCACTGGCTGGAGGATCAAGAACCTGCTGCCACAGTGCTGAGCCGCTGTGCCCTTCCCTGTGGGGAGCGTGCCGTGGGATAAGCAGCACAACTGCAGCCCCCACCCTGGCAGCCCAGCACCTGAGCCGGCAGTCCTGGTAGGGGAAAGCCGGACCTGCAGCAGGTGCTGGGCTGCACTGTCTCCCCGAGCGGGGGGGGGGGCTTTGGCCAATTACCAGAGAGCTGCATTTACTGTGCTGGCGAGCCACACACGGCTCCCAAGCCACAGTTTGGCCACCCCTGCTATAAACCCCTTCATACTAAATAAAACAGCCCACCCCCTATCCACTAGGGGAGATAAGGGAAAAAGCCTAAAGAGAACCTCCTAATGAGCTTGTTCTTCCATTAGGGAACTCTCATTTTGTTAGGCTCCAAAATGCTCAGACTTTCCCATAACAGTTCTTAGCTCTTTCATAGTGTGAACAAACTTTAAGTCATAGAGATGTGCCTTTTATATACTCCACTTCCATTTTCTATGACCCATTTTGATCTTGGCCTTATGGACAGAGCTATACTACATTTATAACTGACTGCACTATGTTAACGGTGTATCCTGTCTCAGTTTTATCACCCTAGTGAGATCTATTCCATTATGGATGGAGTGCTTTTGACCCCATTAGCAGGATGGACAGAAAAGCATTTGAAACAGAAGCTCAAAGCATAAGGAATCTGTTGTTTTGTTCCAAATTAAGCCATGCAGACTGTATTTTGGCACTGCATTCTAAGGCAGTACTGAGGAAAAATGTTCTTATCCAACTGACCAAGCTAATCAAACCTAATCTAGACAAGTGAACTGAAACTGTTTACCAGATGATGCTAATAACTTTTGCCTAAAAATCCAGGGTTTATGAGGTCAAGAATATGAACATGGAAACTGCTGTGATACTAACTTCCAGTTTGCTTATCAGTTCCAATGAGCAGGAAGCAAATGATTTGCTAACCTGCTAAATTCTTCCTCTGTTACTGCTCAGTTCTGCCTCATACTGTGTTGTGTTCACTGGTTACATGTTTCTGCCTTTGCTGCTGAAGTCCCAGGGGGGTTCTTTTGAGTCCTTTACTCGCAACATTCACCTACTTTTGTGGGGAATCAGCTATCATAGGGTGGCATTTGGAGAAAAAAAAATCCTTTTAAATACAGGTAAAATTGGGTCAGAAGCCTGAAACCACTCACATGCAAACAAGTATGTAAACAAGTATGTGACTACAATAAACTAGGGAAACTCCTGAAAAAATTCAAACTATCCTTTGGAAAACAAGGTTCCTTGGAATAGTTGGAAAAATTCTTCTTTGCAAGTTTTTGGGTACAAATACCCTTCAAAGAAGAATCTTTCCAACTATTTGAGTTGGTTTAATAAAAGATACCAGATTTACCCAAGGAACCTTGTCTGCCTATGTCCTTAGACCAACACAGCTATAACCTATACCCCTGAAACTGTCCTTTGAAAATTTCTCTTAGATCTAACCCTCTCAGCCATATGATTAATCAGATACTACATGAAGCATGAGCGAGCACAATCTGCTTTACTAGTTTATCTTCCACACAGATATGTCTGGGTGAAATTTCACGAGCTTTTGAACAGGAAACCAGAAGTAATCATAACAGTTCAACTGCTAGCTCTCAAATGAATTATATTTTTCCTGTCTTATAGAACATGGTGCAATCGCACAGTGTTGAATTAATCCTGATTTACAAATAGCATACAGTTACTTCCTTAGTCCTTCAAAGTTTGACACCTGCCTATTGTGAGGTTTTGTGCAGCTGCAGTCAGCAAAGGCATTCAGGTACAGCATCTCTTACCTACCCGTAATAGGGGGAGCTGCTCAGAGGACATTCTGAAGACTCTTCCACTTCAGAAAAAGTATATCCTCTACTATGAGCAGTCAAAATGTTGAACTACAGGTCATGCAGCACAGATTGTCAAGTTCCCAGACACCTGCCCAGAAACAATGGTGTGGCATCTCTTATTGTAGTAACTGGATTAGTTTTGTTCAGGGGGAAAAGAGGGAGGCATATGTGCACAGATGCATGCCCATGTACGTGGACTAGCTTCCTGTCTGCAGAGAAAAAAATCAACTAACTTACTATGGCATTGCTTTTGGTTTGGCTGACCATTCCTCTGACAGAGCTCTTGGAGTCTAGCATTCTTTGTTTACATTCATGTTTTAATCAGGTAAAAAAAAACAACAAAAACTTGTATTGTGGTAGTATGTAAAAACCCAAGTCACAGACCAGAGCCCCACTGTGCTAGGTGCTATCCATAATTTAAATGTGGTACCTGCCCTAAACTCTTTATACAGAATACACTGAAATTAATCCTTGCTTTACAGTCCTTGCTATTAAAGGTGCCTAATCCTATGAAGGGAGAGGCTGAGTGTACCAGCACCTATCAGGATCAGGCCTAAAACCAATAAGCAAACCCGTAAAACACAGAATATAATTATAGCTGTCCAAGCAGAGTTCTCTCAAAGCTTTACTAAAATTATTCAGGTCTGAAGTGTATAGGCCAGCATCACTAGTTCATGTGATGAGGGCACATGTGCACTTGAAATGGGCCTGGAATAACCACATTCTCTTTGCATGGGATACTAAACATAGGATGGACAGCAGCTATTTTTGATCATCACCATATGGCTGACAGTGAGAAGAGGGCTCCATAGTCCCTGCCAATCCCCAAAACCATCCAGTGGCTTTGCAATACTTTTACAGTTTATAAAATTATAAAAATGCAACTTACCAAGATGCAGTCCACTTTAGATTGTACAGTTTTGCTACATGGAAGCAAGAGAAAAAGAAAAAAGTCAGATTAATCTATACAGAAATATTACGTATTAGAAAAGCTAAACAGTGGTAATGTAGCAGGTATCTCATTATGGGGTAAACTGCCGCAGTTAATGTTCACCTTCTGCTTGATATGCATATGTGATTTTATTTTTTATATACATATACACACACATATACCCATAGATACACATATATACGTATACATATACATATATATAAAATCACATGCACACACACGCAACTGCTAATAGGAAGGAGTACAAGCTGTAAAAAGTAACAGTGAAAGTATTTCTGGACTACTACTAAGCAAGTACTTGACTAATAGTTTCAAAGTTCAAGACTTTGCTCCTTCCGAAGTCATTAGGAACAAGATTTACACTAAAACATTTGCTGCTCCCTATTTTGATCAAGTATCTTTCTCATGCATAGGTACAACTGCAGGGAAAATGGATAAAAACAGCAAGTAATAGATTACTTAAATCAACAGTAAAAAACAAGAAAATCAAAAATGGAAAACAACTCTGCTACCATTTTTGTGCTGGAGCTAGATTTAACTGAAGTAACATCTACTCCTATAGCAGATGTACAGAGATCAGTGAGCAACTGAATGTATTACGCTTCCTATATGTGCTGCTTATAAACAGGTCTGATTTAGGAGACCAAAATGGCATGGCAGAACTAAAATATGGTAATCCTCCCTAACTCCTGGAGAAAGTTTATTTCTACTATTGACCTTCAGTGGCATGACTAGCCAATACATGGTACCGAGATCTGCTCCTCGACTAAGATAAGCTTCCACTAACTTCTTGGGCAGGGGTGGGCAAAATATGACTCGCGGGCCACATCTGGCCCGCTAGGCCACTCTATCCAGCCCAGGGCACCCCCAAAATTTTAGCAAATTAATTTTTATCTGCCCCGGCTGCCTGTCAAAGATGACAGGTGCCAACAGCAGTAGGACCCAGGGGAAGCCATGGCAGTATCCTGCAACAGCAAGGCCCACCCAGCCCTGGGACCATGGGACTATTCCCATCTCCCTGTGCTGAAGCAGGAAATTCAGGTAATAACGGGGAGGCAGGGGAGGACTGCGGGCAACTGCAGGGCAGGGCCGGGCTGGCTCCTGCTGAGTCCTGCCATCATGGCCATGCAGCCAGGAGTCATGTGGTCCAGAAGCCGCCAGCAGGCAGGCAGGAAAGTGGTGAAAGCGGGGGTGGAGGTGGAAGTGAGGTGTGTGGGAGTGCAGGGCCAGTGAGGCCCAGAGTATGGCAGCAGGGGTCTATGGAGGACCCCGTGCTCCTGCCATTCCACTCTGGGCCCTGCCAGTGCTGAACCCGGGCCCTGTTGCAGACCCCGCGCTCCCACCCAGCTGTCACTGCACTCCCACACACCTGCTCACTGCCACTCCCACTCCCCCCATCCCAGCTCCGCGGTACAGGTGGTGACCAGTGCGTGCATCCGTGACCCTGCCTATCTGAGCAACAGCAGCGTGGGACAAACTGCTTCTCAGTGTGGGCAGAAAGTGGCCCCTCCCCTTCCTGCTGCCAGCACTTTCTGGTGCAGCTGCTTAGAGTCCACGTGGAGCTGTCCTGCATCTCCACTGTGTCACTGCCACCTCTGGGCTGCCCCACGGGGCAGTGGTCGCAGCACAGAGCAAACACAGGATAGCTCTGCGTGGACTCCAAGCAGCTGCATCAGAAAGTGCCAGCAGTGGGAGGGGCCACTTTTCCCTCACGCTGAGCAGCAGTTTATCTTGTGTTGCTGCTGCTAAGCCCGGGCCCTGCACTGGCTTTGGGCTCACCCATCGGGGCTGAGCAGCAGCAGTATGGGCAGCAGCAGCTGGGCAGAAATTGCTGCTTGGAGCAGGGGAAAGCAGCCCCTTCCCCTCGCCAGGCAGTTTCTGCTGTGGCTGCCCAAAGTCCATGCCATTCTAGGCTGCGATGCAACTCCTTCACTGACACCTCTGGACAGCAGTGGTGATAGTGTGGAGCAGAAGCAGGACAGCTCACAGGTGGTGGTGAAGGAGCCACACTGCAGCCTAGCACATCATGGGCTCTGAGCGGCCGCAGCAAAAACTGCCTTGCGACAGCAAGGGAGAAAGGCCACTTTCCCCCATGCCAAGCAGCAGTTTTGTGCCCAGCAGCTGCTGCCCCTACTCAGCCCCAACAGGCGAACCCAGAGCTGGCAAGGGGTGCACAGGGTAATGGCTGCATGCGCTGGTCCCCACCACTACTGCTGCATGCAGCCGGGTGTTCCAGAACATGCAAGAGGCATGCTGGGGGTGTGCGTGCTGGGGCTGCACACTGCTGGCGATGGTAGGGAGGTGCTGCAGGGTGCTTGGGCTCTGGGCTGTTGTGGGGTGGATGCTGACTAGCTCAGGAGGGCGTGTGGGGGGGGCTCCCATGCACACCCCACATACCCTCAAACCCTTCCCACAAACCCTACAGCCATACCCATCCCCCACATACACACAGTCACACACCCCACAGATACCGTATCCACACACACATCCCCCACACCCACCCACCCATACCCCCAACATCCCTGCACACCCTACATACAAAAGTAAGACTGCATTTTGAGCTATTATGCAATCACTTCTATATATACAGCACAAACACACAAACGTCAGGACAAAAATATTGTTTTTAAATTAAATTAAAATACATTATTATTGGTGTTTGATTTTTAGTATATAATTCGGTTTTGGCAAACCCTCTTCCCCAAAGGAGTACTTCTAGGGGCAAGGGGAGGGACATCCAGTGGTAAAGGTCAGAGGTTAGGGGCAGAACTTCTGGTCCCAATATGGCAACCAGGGAGTGGGGCACCTGTCAAGGGGTGGGGCTACCCATGTGGCCCTCGACAGCTTGCCAGAACTTGGTAAGTGGCCCTCCACCCAAAATCTCCAGTCCTGTCTCCTACAAAAACACATCACTTTTTTAAGCCCATGAAAAGCATGCATGTACACATATCAGCAAGACAAACACCTTCCCCTTCACAGAAATTAGAGTATTGAAACAGAATCTTAGCTTGTTTGTCTGGAAGGCACAAAACAGCTTATCATATGAGATTAGGGGTGCACCAATTGAGATTTTTTTGGGGTTGATACTGATGGCTGATTTTTAACGAGCCATACAGGCTGATACCAATCTGATTGTTGATATGTGACCCAGCAGTTTGGAGATCAGCATCTGAGAGGAAAGGGTCATGGGGGGGACAGATCAAGGACTCTGTGGTGAGGGAGGAAGTGGGGCAGGGGCTGCACAGCTGGGGCAGGCCAAGTGGGGAGGGGAGCCTGCTCCTGCTCCTATGCATCCCCCGGGAGTGCATGGGGGGCATGTGCCCCCAGATCTGTGCATGGAGTGAGGGTGGGCTGCCACTGCAGGCTGGGCTCAGGGTAGGCAGCAGCGGCAGCACTGGGAGCAGGGGCTACAGTGAATTTTGGGGTGGCTGCAGCCCATCCTGTAGCCCCCCTCCAAGCTCTGCCAGCACCCACCCCGAGCACAGCCCTGGCCCAGCCCCCACTGGGAAGAGCCCAGTATTCCACTGGGCCCAGCCCACAGTGGCAGACCACCCTTGCCCCACATACAGCTCTGGAGGCACACGCTCCCCTTGCCCTCCCAGGGTAAGTGCAGCGGCAGGAGTCACACCACCCCCAAACCCACTGGACAAGCCATGGCTCCGTCCCATGCCCTGCCCCAGCTGGGCAGTACCTGTCCTTGCCTCACTCCCTCCCTCAACGTGGGGGCCTTGATCTCCCCCCGCATTGTCCCTACTCTTTCCCTTCCCCCACAATAGACTTACCAGCTGGACACTGTGCTCCACAATGCCAGGCTGTGCTTCTGGCCACCTGCGTGCTGCGGGCTGTTCGCATGCACAGGGCATTTATCAGCAACATTATTGGCCACATCAGCCAAAAAAAGTTGACTGCCAATAATGTCAATTTTCCTTATGTCGGTGCTGATACAATATGGGACCAATGTATTGGTGCACCTCTATATGAGATGGTAAACTCTGGACTCCATGAAATAACTTTAGTTTGCACACCAAAAATCCTACTTGTCACCATTAATTTAGAAATGCCATTAACACTAGCTATATTGGAAGAAGTCTTTTTCCTTTAGCAGAGAAGGACCTGATTTCTACTTTCAAAGACTGCAGGTTTGGGCCCGTGCACTTGGGAACCTCTATTCTCAACAGAGTTCATTAACAGCTTCTTGGCCTGCATGTAAGACATGGCACAACAAAGGAGGTCCAGGGAATAACACAGCTGCAGAGTGTTAAAGTAGTATGTTACATGGCCATTGGTGAGCAGGAGCAATGTTTCCTTTCAGCTGGCTGGGGTGACACACACAGCATAGCCATACATGTCACGGGGTCTGCAAGCAGATGTCCTGACACTTAAATGGCAAAAGTCCTGTGGGTTAGATAGGAATGTGCAAGACATCTATTTTAACAGCAGTATTTTGCATTCACTATCCTAAAGAAACACTGCTTATTGACTCTTAATATAAATAAGTTAAGGATCTTTCCATTATGACTATAGTAGTTGAGTTACATTCTGCAAAGTTTCATAGCATGGAATAATTCTAATTAGCTTTAGTAGAGCTGTTCGTATGAGAATTAAGCATAAAGACTTCTGTGCAGAATCAAGCTGCTCAGTTGTATATATGTTGGGACAGTGACCTTGGCTCTATTATGTCTTAAAACAACTTGCACTTGGGAGATTTATAAAATATATCTGTCAAATCAGAAAATAAGATGTGAGAAGTCCAGCACTACATTTTGTGATGGAACAATTGTTCTAGTTCAGGGGTTGGCAACCTGTGGCCTACAGGCCAGGTCCAGCCCACAGAGCCATTACATCCAGCCCACAGAGCTAGCTGGGTCTCTGGCAGCATCTGTTGGCAGGGGGTCTCAGTGGCAGTTCTTAGCCTATCTTTTTTTGCTGGTTTATCTTGAAAGTTTAATGTAGACTAGAGATTCTCTACTG